CCTGTTGTCTCGGTCTACATAAAACACCGGTTGGTTCAAGACATCATGTTCACCTTCTGGTAAAGTAAACCCGACAGATATTAACTATGAGTGGTTCAAGGCTTAAAAATGCCACCAACTCAAACACAGTGAATTTTTTGCAAACACTCTCGATAAGTCTGTCTAGTCTAGTCAGGATTAGAATAAGTATTTTTTTTTTTTAAAGTCTATCGAGTCTGCATATAGTCTGCATATGTTTAGAGTCATTTCTATTCATGTGGGGGATTGTTGGATAATTAAAAGCCATTTGGGCTTGGTAAATTTAAACGTGAATTAGAAATGGCCCAATTCAATATGGCACAAGAATGAAGCTTGTCCCACATCGGGGAAAACAAGTGAGAGAGAGTTATATATATATGTTCTCATGTTATGAGAGTGTAAATAGCTCAGAGGAGAAGAAGGTGCTCCACGCGCGCGCCGCCGCCGCCGTCCGGCCGGCTCGGCTCGGCTCGGCTCGGCTCGGCTCGGCTCGGCTCGGCTCGGCTTGGGCGTGGGCGTGGGCTTGGGCTTGGGCTTGGGCTTGGGCTTGGGCTTGGGCTTTATTGGAGGGCCTTTGGCCCAATAAGAAGTTATCTTTTTGGACCAAATTAAGCTCAAAGCTTGCCATTTAAACTTCAAAAAACAGCATGCAATTTTATTTAAAAAACGACAAGTAGTTTGTCTACCAAATAAAAAACGTCACGCTGTTTATTCCTCGCCAGATATTTTAATAACAACGAGAGAGCGAGTCTTGGGGGAGAAGTTTTCGTAACTTAAACCTCCCGAGATCTTTGCCAAATCCCCACTAACGAGCACACGTTACGGGAAGTTGCTCCTCGTCTTCTCTTTAAATATCAGCTCTCCTCTTTCTTCATTCTCAACTTTTTCACGCAAGTAATCCAACAGAAAACTCCCAAAGTAAGTCTAGAGAGTGTTTCGTAATTTTTTAGTTCGTTAGGTCGTTTCACGAGTGAATCGTGATTCGTCTGCCATGGTTGTATCCTGGGACTCAATATTCGTACAGTTTCGTCTCACTACGGAGCGAATATTAAGAGTTAAGGAAAGAGATTTATCTCGCCTCCATGTCTCATATAATCGTTGTTTCCTTAACTCCGTCTTTCTTATATCGTCTACGTCGATCCGATTTTCCGGCTTCAACAACATTCCATTAGACAAAAAAAGAAGACTCCCCTAACATGGTTGCGTTATTGTTTACCAACAAAGCTTTACCCATATTATGTCTCTGAGCTTGTAACATAAATGGCCTAGCCGCCTAGGAAACAACAATAAATGAATCGTAATGCAAAGATCCAGAGAAAGTGAGCAATCTCATTTTACCTGGATTAGCAAGAATCAAGACAATATCAATGTCAGGGTTACTAGCTGCAACATCTAGAGCAAGACAAGCTCCATCGGATTCTCCAACTATATAGATGGGTCTGTTTGGGACACGGTAGTACTCTGACCTAACTGTCCTCTCAATGAGTTTCACAATGTCTGAAAATTACATAAAACAAGATTAATAATCAAGTTCGTTATAAAACGGTAGTAATACAACAGATAAAAAGCACCTCGAGAAGGTGTATGATCCGTGGCTGGAAAGTGAAGGCACCATATGTCAAATATCCTATATATAATCAACAGGCAATGAGATTAGCATTAATATTGGATGTAAATTAGAATCAAACATTACTTACACTCCAAGCCTCCTATGCTGGCGAATGAGCCCTAATCCAGTACCATCCATCCCTGTAGTTTTGATTTTTTTTTTTAGTTCGTTAACTTGCATCACACGTTTTCTCCAGAAGCAGTATTAAAAGGACGAACCAGGTATGTAGAGGAGAAGAGGAGATCCTGGAGCGCGTGAGCTACACTCTAATGGAGAGAACCACCGAGGTGGACCTCCATCTCCGCCCTCTGATATGTAGAAATTTTCAGCTTCAGCCAAAAAGTCCGTCAAACTCTTCCTTTCCTCAGGCCTCGCTGCCTCCGTGTCTGAATACGGATTCACCGTCGCTGTCACTTTTGCTCCATCCCGGAGACGTCCTATCGCGACGGAGTTCAGCCGTTGGTTTGAGTTCAAGTTGGGAAAATCAACTCTTCTTGAACCTGATGAGAAGATGGGACAGATTCCATCGGTAATGGTAATCGCCATTGACGAGAAAACTCGAGTATCAATGGTAGATGACATTCTCATTGTTCAACGTCATCTTCAAGCGATGGAACATGAGAAGTTCGTGCTTACGAGAAAACAGCGAGCGATGCGTGCTCCGCCATTCTTTCCACTCTTTTCTTCCTTTTGTCGAGGTCGGTTTGGCATTGACATTTCTATTTGAATTTGGTTTAGACTTGATTTTATGAAATTAAATTCACAAATCATATCTATACTATTATTTGAGAAATAAATTTTCTGATTTGTCATTTTATTCATGATTTTAGGTAATTTATCTTATTTTTCATATTTTTAATGATTTTATATATTTATTATAGAATTAAAACGAAGTTCATTAATAATATTCTGTGTTTTAGAAAATAAGATAAATTTGTTTATATGTCAACTTCTCTATGATTAAAATAATTTTACTTATTTATCATATTTTTAATAATTTTGTATATACTATTATAAGGGTATTCTCTCAAATAGCTCTTTTAAATTTTTTGTCATAGAAATAATCTTTAAAACATAAAATAACCAACATAGTCCGTTTTGTTTTGAAATTTGTAACAGCTTTTTTAATTTTTAATTTTTAATTTGATATCCTAAATTCAAAACCCCACCTCTAAACTCTAAACCTTAAGTCTAGATTAGTTAACCCAAGCGTATAAGTACATATTTATCCTTTAATACACACTTATTTTGGTCATTTTCCTTGTTGGGGACTATTTTTGTGAAAATAAACAAAAAAGTCTATCTAGAGGAAGTTCTCTTATTATAAAACCAAAACGAATTTATATTAACAATATTACATTTTTAAAATAAAATAATTTTTATGTATTATGTTGCTGATTTGAAAATATATTTACATTTATAAATTTAAAATTAAGATATGAAAATTGTAATCAAATCAAGCAAACAAAATTATATAAATATACTTTTTAAAAATATATTTATACAAATGTGTGTTGTCATTTATTATTAATTTGATGTTTGATTTAATTTTTTTTTGAATCAATTCTCTATATATTGTTTACAAAGTGATTTGTTAGATGTACTCTCTACAATCACTTTTTACAAAAATATGATGATATGCTATTAAGATTGATGATATGGCTTATAGTTAAATATGACATGAACAATTACATTTATAGCTGATATTTATTTTTAATAAACTTTATTAAATATAGCAATAACTCATACATTACATTTAATGTTGATTATATTTTTGGTAAACTTCTTAAAATATGGTAATAACTCATAAATCAAATCATCAATAAAATAGATATATTTAAATATGCATTATAAACTTTGAAATATTATTTAATTTAATTTTATAACTATACAATTTTTATTACTAATATTTTCAAAATAATTTACATCTTTTTTTAAAAAATACTAAATTTTTAATCGTAATATCATTATTTTCTTTTAGATATGGACAAAAATTTATAAATATTGTTTAGTTATAAATTTTTAATAACTATACAATTTTGTATGAATTTTCTTAGTAATTTTATACAAGTTGATTTAATACATTTAACCAAAATAAGTAGATAAAAAATTTCTAAGATTCAAATTTTAAATATATTACATATATATTATTAGTCAAATTTATATTAATTTTTAGTCAAAATAATAAAGGGCAATTAACTCAAATAGTCATTTTTAAATTTTTGTCACAAAAATAGCCTTCAGAAAATAAAATGACCAAAATAGTCTATTTTTTATTTTGAAATTTGTAATATTTATTTTTATTTATTTTTAAAATTTGAAACCCTAAACTAAAAAACTCCACCCCTTAACTCTAAACTTTAGGTCTAGATTAGTTAACTCAAGGATATAAATGCATATTTACCCTCTAATCAAAAAAAACTTATTTTGATCATTTTTCTCCTTAAGGACTTTTTGTGAAAATAACTAAATGACGATCGATGACAAAAAAAAAAAAAAATCTATACATGATTATCAAAGGGGATTTCTCAAGGATAAAAATAATTTTTAAATTGTGTAAGAAACCAACTGAATTTTTATTTACAGATTTTAAAATTATATATTCTCACTTGTTTTAATGATAATTTAGTTTAACTGTTGATTTTATTAAGTTAAGTAAAAATTAAGTTAAAATAGGCAATTTCGTTAATGTTATTACCACATTTAACATCTTGCCAAAACTCAATATTCTTGTCAATAAATATTTAAATAATCAAAATTAGTTTAGCTTTATAGAGTTATCATCAATTGATTTCTGAAAATATAAATAATCATACAAATAGACTAATTTTTTTTAACCAAAGTTAATGTTAAAAAGCTTATATCTATATTCTATCATTGTATAATTTAAATTAATTATGTATATGAATTATTTTTATAGTATATAGCTAAACTTTTACTACCATGTTTGATAAATATTTCCAAAACACAAAAGTATATGATATACATTTATGAAATATAACAAAATTTGTATAACCATAATTTAAGAATCCTCTAAAATGTTTTAAAAAAGTCATTAAATGTGTCCATGCCATAATAAGGTAGAAGCCTTGTCTTACAAAGACATGTTACTATTTATTTTCTAAACTGGGAAGTTTCTTACGCCTTGCTCTTGCGCAGTTATAATAATTTTTCAGTAATATTTATTTTAATTGATATTCAATTTAATTTTTTAATATTTTAAAAATTAAAACTATAAAAACAACTATTTTAATTTGGTTTAACTATTTTTGAATTTAAATTATTTAGATTTCAGGAGAAAATCAATTAATTATTTCCAAACAAATAACAATTACTCCCTCTGTTTCATAATAATGTATATTTTAGAGTCTTCACACTTATTAAGAAAATACATAAAATTTTAACTTTAAAGGTATTATTTTTTTGTTTAGCTATTGCCCACGATTTCTAGTCAATCAAAATTTTCAGTGAACACAATTAATATATTTGAAGTTTACAACTTGCCATTGTTACTTATATTGAAAATATAAAATATGGATCTTTTAGAAATTTGTTTTTTCTCAAACATATATCATTTTTAAACGGAGGGAGTATATTAAAACTATATTTATTTAATAACTAAGTATATAAATTCTATAAAATATTGTTAAAGATTGATTAAATTAATCTATTAACTAACCATTCAACTTAGATACTTTAGCGAAATTAAAGATGACTAAATTGATACGTTGGAAGCCTAAATTAACTGTTTCTTTCCATTGTTCAATAGATTTAGGTTAAATTTCAAATATTTAAGAGAATTTTGCTAAATATGACATACAACTTGATTTTAAATGTAAAATTATAGCCTAAATTCAATTAAATTGAAAAGTAACCCAAAATACTAGTGAAACTATAACCAGCTCATAAACAAAAAAACTATATAATTTATTTTAATATATTATGGTTAAATTTCAAAAATTAAGAAAAAATTGCCAAATATGACCCAAAATTGATTTTGAATGCAAAAGTATATCCCAAATTTAATAAATGCAAAATAATCAAATACTGATGAAATTACAACTACATCTTTATGACCAAACAATAAAATATGTATGCACTTTTACTAGTATAACCACGTAAAGTCGTCTGTGGTTTATGAAGTTTTCGGTGAGAACACTTCTCACGAAGTCTTCTCATGTAGTAGAACATAAATAATTTAAAATTTTATCAAAAAATATTTTTATGGGGGAAAACTGAAAGCATATAATGATAAACATTTCTAAATGATTTAAATTTAGATTTACTAAAGTTAAATTGTTTTCAACATAGATGAGTGAATATAGGTGGTAAGTCATGAATATCTTTGGGTTAGGGTTTGATATCATATGTTGTAGTATTATTTGGATTATAGGATTAGATTTTAGAATCTTATTATTTTCAAAGAAAATTCAATTGGACATATATGTGTTTAGTTTTGTATATATTAAACACTCTATAAGCTGATCATAAGTTTAATGAAGTGTTTGTTACTATTTAGTTAGTTATTTGATTTTTGGTTTTGTACGACTTCTTGGGAAGTTTTTTAACACGTAATGCATTAGAAGACTTCTTGTGAAGTTTTCTAAGACGAATAGTAAATTTAGGGTTAAGAAGAGTTCTTGGGAAGTTCTGAACCTCTGAACCGAAATATTTAACCTAATTGGATTTTTTGTCCTTTTATAAAAACAAAATACACATTCTCTCTTTGCTCTCAATTGGCTGCAAAAAAAAAAAACGTTTCTCACTATAAAACTATCCAACATATCTCTAATCTCTTTAAACTTGAAAATACTAAACTTTATATCAATTACTAGGGATGGACATTTTACCCAGACCCGAGAACCCGGCCCGAAACCGACTCAAAAAATTCTGATTCGGGTAGGAACCAAACCCATAATTTTATCCTATTGGGTCTTGTTGTGGAGGACCTGGGGGTCTTGGACCCGACCCAAACTCGAGACCCGATGGGGTACCTGAAATTTCCAAAATTCTAGTATATATTAGTATATATATATATATATGTGTGTGTGTGTGTGTGTGTGTGTGTGTGTGTGTGTGTGTGTGTGTGTGTGTGTGTGTGTGTGTGTGTGTGTGTGTGTGTGTGTGCGTGTGTGTGTGTGTGT